AAAAAAAAAAATACTAAAGAAAAAAGCTAGTGGCATGAACTATATTTCTGTGACTCTGAGGCTGATAGCTGAGAAGTTGCTCAAGGTAACTTGTTTTTCTCTCAGCTCTCTTAAACTTCTGTGATTTTCCCCATATTTTGGGACTAGATTTAGGCTTTTTCTGATAGTCTTTGTTTGCTTTGTAGAGGTCTTCTAGAGAGAAGTTACTTACTAGCAGAGTATTACCATTGATATCGATTTTGGTTTTGTTTCTCCTTTTTTTTTTTTTTAAGTAGTTTTATTTATTTCTTTATTTGGCTTTGCTGGGTCTTCGTTGCTGCATGGGCTTCTCTCTAGTTGCAGAGAATGGGGGCTACTCTGGTTGCAGTGTACAGCCTTCTCTTGCAGAGGCTGCTCTGATGCTGTGTACAGGCTCTAGGGTGCAAGGGCATCAGTAGGTGCAGTTCCCAGGCTCAAGAACACAGGCTCTATAGTTGCTCCGCGGCATGTGGGATCTTCCTGGATCAGGGATTGAACCTGTCTCCTGCATTAGCAGGCAGATTCTTTACCACTGAGCTACCAGGGAAGCCCTTGATTGATTTTAGATGTCTCTTGTTCCCCACACACCAAGTTAAGGTTAACAGTAAATAAGATTCTTTTTGAAAATACAGTTACTGGGCTTTTGATAGTCAACACCTGATTTTACATTTAGTTCTTGATCTTTCAGAACTGTAATACCTTTATGCTTTTCTTAGTTTATTTCACTGTGTTGAAAGTATATATAAAACATTGGTTTTGCTTGCCTTTAACTTTTGTTTTGTCCTAAAGCCATTGATATTTATGATTATTATGAAAGTAGTAGTTCTTTAAATGGACCTCTATTAATATTTTTTATTATGAAAATTTTAAGGATTTAGATGTCTTGTTGAAGCTTTTTGATTTTTAAAAAGCTTTTGATGGTGAACAGTTTCTAATACACAAGAAAATAGAGAATCATATAATGTATTGTCATGTATTCATCATATACCTTCATCAGTAATCAACACTTGCCCATTTTGTTTCATTTTCCCCCCTCCTGTTCTCATTCCTCAATGTTTTTTCCCCTGAGAGTATTTTATTTTTATTTATTTTTTTAGTTCTATTTGTTTATTGCTATCAACCCATCTCCTTCCACCTTCCTCATGTGTGCGTGCTCAGTCGTGTAGCCCCATGGACTGCAGCCTGCCAGGCTCTTCTGCCCATGGACTTTTGCAGGCAGGAATACTGGAGTGGGTTGCCGTTTCCTTCTCCACCGTGGGAGTATTTTAAAACAAATCCTAGCAATCATATAATTTCACATAGATACAATATTTATTTTTGAAGTACTGGGAAGAACTTTTTGCATCTTAATACTAGGTTCAAGTGGCTAGCTCTGTCACTTGCCAGCTTTGTGTGACGTTAAGCAGGTTGAATAGTTGCTCTGAGACCAAGTTTCCTCAAAGGCAAAGTGAGGATAGTGATTTTCCATCCTTTAAAATGATGTAAGGGACAAATGAAATAAGATAATAAACATAAAAGTGCTTTGTAAACTACAGACGTTAAACCCTCAAATAGTTCTATTAAAGACTGACAAAATGGGTTTGGCCAAGTGCAGGCAGCCGAAGGGGCGCTGCTGAACTGATCCGCTGAGCCTGTTGCTTCCACTGCCGACCCGCGTTCTGTGACCTGCGACTCCAGACCCCTTTTAGATTGGCCCAGGTGCCCCAGGCCCGGCCCGGGTGGCGCGTCCGGAGGATGAGCGGCGGGCAGCAGAAGGTGGAGCCGTTTCTCAGCTGCAGCAGCCCAACGGGGCCCTCAAAGTCTCTGTCTGGAGCAAGGTGTTGCGGAGCGACACGGCCTGGGAAGACAAAGATGAATTTTTAGATGTGATCTACTGGTTCTGACAGATCACTGCTGTTGTCTTAGGTGTCATTTGGGGGAGTGTTACCATTGCAAGGTTTCCTGGGAATAGCTGGGTTCTGCCTGATCAACGCAGATGTCGTGTACCTCTACTTCAGCAACTACCTGCAGATAGACGAGGAATGATATAGCGGCACATGGGAGCTCATGGAAGAAGGGTTTATGACATTGTTTACCTTGTTCATGGCCATCTGGATCATCTTCTACACTGCCATCCACTATGACTGATGGTGCACGGCCCCACCTGCTCCCTGCCCGGTCCAGAGGACCCTGTTAGTCACAGCACAGAAGCATGATTGGTAGGGGCTCCCCAGCCATGTGGAACCAGGAAGACCCATGTTTCCCGGACTGACAGTCAGTGTGTTGGGCATCAGTGTCTTCTGCAAGGGTTGCAACCTGAAGCTTTTTAGACAACTATCCACTTTTTGGAGAAGCACTTTTGAACTGTCTGTTGCTTACCGTTTCTTCCTGGAGACCATTGTGAGATATCTGTTTTCTGATTGGAGCTGTCCTTTAATTTGCTGCACCTCTGGATCTGGATGAAACATTAAATTGTCTTCCTTCTCCATCAGGTGTACAGTTTTTAAACTACCAATCATGGGCATTTCAAGTCTTCTGAAAACAGTATGGCAGTATGCATGGTCCATAGCACAGTACAGGCAGCATCTGATAACAGTTTTTATTGTAGAATGTTTTCAGATACTTGAGTAAATCAGATCTTTAATTGCAAAAAAAAAAAGTGACAAAATGGTATTATACAAGTAGCTTTGCATTGTTTAGGACACACAGTCTTAAGAGGGGCCGGTATGCCAGAGCTTATCAATACCTAGGGAACTTTTCTAAATTCCTAACATACCATCCCTACCTTGAGGATTGATACCATAGTGAACTGATTGGAGTGGGATATCCTGCAGGTTTATTAGATTAGAGCAGCATAGATTATTGGTTTAGGATTCCACAGCTAATATGTACTGAAGGTGATTGTAATGATTGTCTAATTCTATAATTTTTATTAACATGGAGGTGTAATATGTATAAAATAAAATGCACCTCTTTTAAGTATACAGTTTGGTGAATTTCAGAAGTGTATGTATACATTTCTGTCACCCGAAACGATTTCCTTATTGCCCAGTCCAGTGCCTGTCCCCCCAGGTGATCATTGATCTCTCTTCTATCATTGTAGATGAGACGTGTTTTTCTTAACAGTTTCATATAGGTGAAGTCATACAATATGTACTCTCTTGTTCTTCTTTTGCTTAGCAGAATATTTTTGAGACCCTTGTGGGTTGTGTGGTTCTGTTTTATTTTGACAAGTATACTTTTGTATGGGAATGCTGATTTGTTTCACCTGTTTATGAACATTTGGGTTGTTTCCAGTTTTTGGCAGTTATAAATGAAACTTCTTTGAACATTTTTGTTCATGTTTTGGTGAGAACACATATTTTCATTTCTCTTGGGTAAATACTGAGTGGATTTGCTGAATCATATGCTAAGTGTATATTTAACTTTACATGAAATTGCCAAACTGTTTTATAAAGTATATGAGCTATTTTACATTCCTGTGAGCAATGTGTGAAAAATTCATTTGTTCTATATTATTGCCTAAAATTTTAGGCATTCTAATGGTGTAGAGTGATATCTCCTTAATAGTTTTAATTTACATTTCTCTGTTGACTGATGACATTAGCATCTTTTCATGTGCTTGTTTGCCATTCATATATTTTAATTTGAGAAGTGTCTAATCAAATCTTTTCCCCATTTTAACCTATGATTATTTTATTTTTGAGTTATAAGACTGTGTATTCTAAATACAAGTCCTTTGTAATACAGGGCTCCTTTCTTTCTTTGTTTTGCCTTATTTTTATAATGACATCTTTTGAAGGGTAAAAGTTCAAAATTTTTATGAAATCCAGATTATTAATTTTTCTTTCGTGCTTTGTTCTTATATATGAAATCATTGTGTAACCCACGTTTCCAAAGATTTCCTTCTGGGACCCATTTTGAGTTAATTTTTGTATATTGTAAGGTTAGGGTGCAGGGTTAATTTTTATTTTTTCTCATGACACTACTAGTCTTCTGGACAAAAAAATGTTGCCTGCGATTTCAGTAAACACAGAATATTGTGACTGTGAAGACATCAGCCTGTGCAGCTGGCCCTGATGGTGCACCTTGAGGGGAATTCTGGATGGAGAAAAATAGGGTACTGGCCCTAGATAGTTAAGATATGTATCAAAGGAATCATTTCAGTAAGCCCAGACTCTTGAATCTTGCCAAACATACAAAAGCATTAAAATTATTACTTTGAGATGTCAGTTTTTGTGATTAGCAGTCATCTTGTGATGTTCAACTACATGTTTGTTATTTTTTCACAGCAAAACCTATGTATCCTGGCTCCTTCCTTACTTCTTTGAAAGACCTATCTGAGAGGCTGTATTCTGGGCTATAGTCTTCAGTAATAAAACGTAATTCTCGGCTTTTAGGTTGTGCATTTTTTTCAGTTGACAGTTTTCTCTGCTGAGATTGGTTTATTGTTTCTTTTCCACCACGTTTTCAAAGAGTACCTAGTATATACTGAGATGATTATATTTCTCAGATAGGTGTTTAAATTTTATATTTGATCTTTTCTCCTCATCTCTCATTTTGTTGAGTTGGGCTTTGATTATGATATTCAGTATTCTTCTCATACTTTGTTGAACTATGTTGAGTTTAACAATAGTTGAGCAGAAAACACCTATCTTCTTTAAGGTTAGGCATAGTCCTTTCGTTAATTTAAGGATTATGTAAAGATTTGGCTTGAGTTAGTTCCTAAGATATTTTGATATTAGTGATAGACTTTTCATTGTTAGTGTATTTTATTTCTTATTTTGCTGTAGTTACCACTTAACATTTTTCTTAGTGTTCTTTACATAAATTTAATGAATTGAGGGGTTTGTATGTAATCGCTTTGCTGGAACATTGTATTACCAGACTTAACAAGTGTTAAATTCTTAAAAATCAGAAATGTATGTGGAAAGTTGTGTGTATGGCTTTGGTAGAAAAAAAAATGTGAACATCTTTATTTAATGTCTTTCTATATCCAGAGGATGCCAGCCCCCATCAGATTGCGGGAGCTGATCCGGACCATCCGGACAGCCCGAACCCAAGCCGAAGAACGAGAAATGATCCAGAAAGAGTGTGCTGCAATTCGGTCATCTTTTAGAGAAGAAGACAATACATACCGGTGTCGGAATGTGGCAAAATTACTATATATGCACATGCTGGGCTACCCTGCTCACTTTGGACAGGTAGGCTGGGGTGAGACCACATCTAGCAAAGCGTGCTGTGCTCTGCTCAGTCGCTCAGTCCAGCTCTTTGTGACCCCATGGACTGTAGCTCGCCAGGCTCCTCTGACCATGGGGATTCTCCAGGCAAGACTACTGGAGTGGATTGCCATGCTCTCTTCCAGGCTAACAAGGGTATTCTTATTTTAATGTCAGTAGGTTAGGGATTGTCAGTCTCTCCTGTCAAGGAGGACAGGATATTTTGGATGTCCCAGTAGTATTATTATGGAACTGAGGGTAGAATTGAGAGAGAAAACTGCTGACCTGGGAAGGTATGATATTGCCATCAATTGTCTTTTCCATTGGGAATCTCTAATTATGTGGACTAGAGTATGTTTTGATGGTGGCAGTGAGTTTAAAGATTGACCGGGATTAACTGGTAGATTGTGATTGTTCTGTCAGACATCCTGGACTATGAAGAGAACACTTTTAAGAAAAGTTTACTCAGTGTTTTCTTAATTATTTTCTCAGTGCAGTAATACTATATAACACTGCCAACACTGCCGGCAGTTGTGTTTAAGTAAAAGAAATTCGATGGATGCCAAGGAATGGCATTTAAGGACTTTGTCCTTAACCTCATTCCTTTATAGCTGTAGCCACTGTGCAGGCCTGTCTGTTGTTTCACTCCACACACAAACACAGATTTCTTTTTTTTTTCTCAACACATATTGCTTGATACAGCCAGTCTGGGCATGATATTCTTGGTGATAAGTACTTTCTTCTTTCCACTTTTATACATGGTAAGGGAGATTGAGTCACAGAGAAGGATGTAGTGGGTTGTTTTTTGGTTCTTACAAATGGTATTAAATTTTATTTTACTTGAAAATTTAATTGTATGCTAAGTAATCTTTTTAAGGAAAAGACTGCAAAATTAAAAGAATGTGCAATACTAGGTACAAAGAAAAAAATACCACCCATATTTGCATTATTCAAAGATAATATTATTAATGTTCTGATATATTTGTCAGGAAAGATGGCCATCAGTTTATTTTCTGTTCAGCTCACTAACTTAAGTGGAAGAATATATCCTCACCATTGAGTTAAAACAAAAAAGTAATGGGATTGAATCTTCCCAGGCTGACTTGGGTTACTCTTATGCTCATTTTGGGGCAGGAAATGAGATCAGCCTCTCAAGAAATTTATGATTAAGAGTGGGAGAGCATTAATTCCCCAAAGGAAAATTGAGGTATTAATATCCGAGGAAAAGACCAGATACTAGGCAGTCAAAAGCAACAGCTGTCTCATATAAATAAACATTATATGCTTTTGCCATATGGATTTGGGTGGTTATCCATGTAGCATGTGACATAATTAGTACAAAGCAGATAGCTATTCATGTATTCTTGTTGGTTTATTATAAGTAGACACATTAAGTTAGATGGTCCACTGGAGGAAAGACTCCTAATCCTTCCACTCAGAGAGTGTTACTTGTTAACATCATGAGAACAGTAGAGTTATATACTCTTAAGGCTGTTCTTCAAAGACAAACTCTTAAATTTAAAATCATAGGGTAGACTTTGGTGATATTTCATTTTGTAAAGGAATTTTATATATATTCCTAAGATTCATTTCTGTGACATGTTTAAATATGTTTTCCGAGTCTGTCTAGGTGGCATTTTTTTAGGTGTTATGGAACTTAGATAAAACATTTAAAAAGATAAAATCTTAGGTGGAAAGTGAAACTACTCAAGGAAACTACTAAAATTTTGATACAAAAAAATAAAGATTTTTCTGAGTGGGAATAGTTATGGTAATTTTAAGGTCCTCATTCTGTTTCCTCTCTTTGATTAGTCACACATGGCCTAATCCTTATCAGTAATTTGGTATCCCACCCATTGAAATTGTCTTTATCATGTACCCATTAAAAGGTTCCTATATTGTCTTTCCTACATGTATGAATCACAGTGCCATTTTCATTTGATGATGTGTAGAAACAACCACTCTTTAGTTGCATTTTATCTGTGAGACCTGCACTGTTCTTTATGGTAGCCACTAGCTGTGTAGCCACTGGTCTTTGGAAATATAGCTAGTTCAACTAAGGCGAATAGTAAAGAAAAATAAATGAGGGAGGGTACTTGATGCAATTATTGGAAACCTTTTAAATATGTTTTAACAACTTGAATGTGAATCTGTTTCATCAGTTGTAAATTTTACAAAGTCCGAATACAATTCAGATATTTCTGATGGATCTGGAGTGTACAAATTGAGATGTGCTGTAAGTGTAAAGTACATACTGTATTTAAAAGCGTTAGTACAAAGGAAAGATGTAAAATAGCTAATAATTTTTATGTTGATCATATGTTGAATTGATATTTTAGGTATATAGGGTTAAATAAAATCTATTGTTAAAGGTACTTTCACCTGTTTCTTTTTATTTTTTACTGCAGTATCTAATATGATACTGTACAATGGAAATTAAATATGAACCAGATATATAATTTAAAAATGTCTCGAAGCCATATTTTAAAAGTATTTAAATTTTATAGTAAAACCCATGAGATAGGTAGTATCCTTGTAGTACAGATGAGGAAATTGAGTTTAAATTCAGTTTAAGTGACTTATTTAAATTCACACAGCTGGTAAATATAAGGGGAAAGATTAGAACTCAGCCTTGCATAACTCTAAAACTTGTTCAGTCTTTGTGTTTAGTTTAAATCTATAAATGGCTATTTGCATTAAGTTAACTCATTTAGCCCTGCCTTATATATGGTATTTGAGATGGCATACATTATCAGCATCTATTTAAAAGAGAAAATAGTACAAAGTAAGAGTTAGGGGAAGGAAGAATTCAGAACACAAAGCTTGTCTGGTTGCTATTGGGGAGGCAGCTCAGGCAGGAAAAAAAAAATTCAGTTACGTGGTTGTGATAACTAGAATTTAAGGGCACAGCTGCAGGAACCAGACTACCTTGATGTGAATTGTGGCTTTGTTACTTTATTGTCGTGTGTTGTGTTTTTCAACAAGTACTTTAACCTTTCTTGTTCGCTCTTATGTAAAATGGAGATAGTCCTAATACTGTTTTATAGGGTTATTCTAAAGGTTAATTAATAAATTTTAAATATTTAGGTTTTATTCTTAAAAAACTCTCAGATCTTACTGATTTTACCATTCCCTAAGGGACAGCCAACAGAATTTAGAAAAAGCAGGAATTCTAAAAGAGATGTTCTTATGTGGTTCTTTTATTTAGGAGTTTCTTAGTAATGTAAGACAGAATCCTCAACATTTTTACAACAAAAGCAGTGATAGATTTCCTGTAGGATTTGTAACCTTTTACATGTCTGGTTTAAATACAACCCAGAAATAAAGTTGAATATCTGAAGTAGTAGATAGATTGCAGGAGTAGAAAATGGTGGGTCAGGGCCCAAATTCTTCACAGATGTATTTTGTCTTGTACAGTACTTAAAATTGTTTTGAATTTGCTGCTAGCATATAAAAATCAAAGAACTTCTCATAGAACTCTGAATTTCCAGTTTCTCTTAGAAAGTCAGAGGATTTGGGAATATTGATCCACAGTTTCATGTGGCAGTAGTAGGCTGGGGACCTTCTCCAGGCTGGTCATGTGCTCTTATTTCTTCCCAGTTTCAGCCTGGCCTGCTGGACCTATACTCAATTGCCTGTCTACGATAGTCTTCCTTTCCATCAATATAGAATAGTATAGCGTTTCACATCCTTAGGTTCTCTAAGTTTTACAGTGTTCTCCATAAGGTCTTATACATCTTTGGTGAAACTTACTCCTAGTTTCCTTGGAGCTCTTATTCCTATTGTAAATAGCATTCTTTAAAATTTTTAAAAATTATGTTGTAGGTATGTAGAAATATAATTGATTTTTGTCTATGTATGTGCTTGGTAACATTACTTAGTGCTTAGAGTCCCTGTGGACTCTGTTATTTCCATATAGTCAGCACTGTTGTCTGCAAATGATGGCAGTTCCCTTCCTTTTCCACCTTTAAGCATTTTATTTCCTTACTATATATGCATACTATATACTGTACATGTAGTATGTGTACTATACATGTAGTATATGTACTTTATGGTAATATACATGTGTATATACTGTACATGTGGAACAATATTGAAAAGGAGGTGATAGTAGCCATCCTTGTCTTGAGCACCCTTAGGCTCAGATTGTGGTCTCTAAATACCCTTTTATCTTGTCTCTTCATCTGGGACAGCCAGGGTATTTACCCTTTTATTCTCAAAGGGCCATACCTGTTAGAAACATGGCTGATCCCAACTCTGGATCAGGAAATGTACAAAAGAAGCTTGGACTGTTAAACTGTGCCAGGAATCAAGAGAAACTACAGAGGTCATATTGAAAGGATTTGGTAGCCATGAGAGAAGGCTGTCATGCCTCAAAATGAGAAAGTTTGAGCTTTAATAAAAGAGCAATAATCGGAGACTTCCCTAGTGGTCCAGCAGTTAAAACTCCATACGTCCACTGCAGGGGAGGTAGGTTTGATCCCTGGTTGGGGAACTGAGATCCCACATGGCATGTGGTGCAGCCAAAAAAAAAAGTAATAATTGTAATTGAAACATACCAAATAAGTTTGTATCAATGAGTTCATAATAATTAAAAAAAAACTGAAAGCGTTATTGGCCATTTTTGGAAAATACTAGGGAAATGACTCATTATTTTGAAAACTGGTAAAGGAAGGAAACATTTATCCTGCCTTTTCTATCCAGTAGTTACTTGTAAAGTAATTATTGCTAAGTTCTTTCCGAAGGAACTATTGGTAATCCAATGGTATATATAGAGAAAGTTGCTCCTTAGAGGAATAGCCAAGCTAATAAATGAAGAAGGGATGGAAGAAGAATTAGAATATTACCATTTTCAACCCCTGCTGATCATCAGTGTTGCTGATGTCACAGAGATACAACCACCAGCAATAATGAAAGCCTCCTGTTAAAAGTTCATGTCACCACCTGTGAATTACATTTGCTAAATCAAAACAAAAACTGATAAA